GGAGATGTTGTTCATGTATTTATGTCCTCATTTAGTGAGACGGCAGACGTTAATATCACCGGAAGCGTCACAAGCGATTCAGTACGAGTAGTAAACAAAACCGTGCGTCTGCGCAATTCATTAACACAGAGACACGCAGAATTCATATTTAAATAGTAGTTTTGCGGCTTAATATTTACACATACTAGTGGGAGTGGGAGCGGGCCGCCCCCCTAATATAAGGGCGGGGGAAACACTGTATATATATATATATATATATATATATACCATCTAGTTTTTTTTTTTTTATGAAGTGTCTTACGCTCACCAAGAGTGCATTTATTTGATCAGAAATACAGTAAAAACAGTAATATTGTCTAATATTATTACAAAAATACTATTTATTCCTGTGATCAAAGCTGAATTCTCAGCAGCCGTTATACCAGTCTTTAGTGTCACATAATCCTTCAGCAGGGCTTGACAATAAGGACTGCCCGATGGCCCGGGACCGGCGTGAAAGACACTTGGGACAGTTGACGAATTTGTCACTGAAAGTCATGAAAGTTTATCATTTGCACGTGCTTTTAAGCCTTAAAAATTCAAAGCGATTTTAAAGCATTCAAGCAAGACGCGAAAGACATTCAGTACTCGAGGGCTGTGCTCTGTGTGTGCAGTGCGCATTCTTGTGCTTGAACAGACAAATACATACAAAAGTATGTCAAAATAACTTTGTAGCTTTAACAATGATTAATCTGTATTTAATTTAAACAATGGAGTACAGATGCACCGGTCGACCAGCTATTTTTTGTTGCATTTTAGCCGATTTCTGTTCCGGGCTTGCACACAAACTGCACTGTAATCATTTTCCAAAATGTCATTTGTGTGGAAATATTACAAAGTGTGTAAACGGGCGTTAACAGAGGCCAGAGATGCTGAAGATGGACACAAGGAGGAGAAAATACTGTACAGGCAGAGCAAGATCACTGTTCACGATGCGCAAAGTATTGGAAGAAAATCCTAAATATTGATTTAGGGGTTTATATGAATGTATCTCTGAGGGGAAGTGACTGTCTTCAGAAAAGTTTAGATGGTATTTTCTTTTCATTTGCCTCTATAATGCATCTAAAGTAATGTTTAAGCGCAGCGCAGCGCAGCACTGCTTTGTTTACAGCGGCTACCAAAGAAACGGCGTATTACTGCTGTTCCATAAGCGCCACCTGCTGTCAGAAAGTGAATCTGCATCTCATTCAGCCCGTCTGCTGTTTTTCCTGAAGCATCATTTCATTTGTCTTTGTTCTATATATTAAATTGTGCTATTGCTTTGTAATTTGTTAATTTGTTCTTATTTACTGACTGTTCACTTGTCTTTAATAATGTTTGAACTTTATGTTTGCTGTTAGCTCATCTATTAGAATAAAAGATAACATGGGTCAAAAACTGATAACAGCAACTATTTAAATTTTTTTTGTGGCAGGGCCAGTGAAAATATTGGCAGGGCCAGTGCAAATTTGGGCAAGTAGAAAAATCCTTAGCTTTGAGCCCTGCTTCAGAAATCAAGAAATCAAATATTTTACACAAAAAAGTTTCATCTGCAGATATATGGTCTTGTTTAGGGATCTGTGCCTTTGTGCATACGGATATCTGACTGCTAAGTAGTGATTGTGTTTTTCAGCAATAGTGTGCAGCCTTAATTTACAGAGAAAAGAAGGTCAGGGAAAAATCTGTAGATGGTAAAATCTCCATACAAGTTATTTGTGCATTTTTCTTTTATTGTACTTGTTACTTTGCACTTTTTGTTAGAAAATGTTTATTTACTATTTATTCAAGTGTTTTAAGGTATCTAATATTTTGATACTTAATTTCCATGATCTAAATAAATATTCTTAAAAATTTAAAGTTTGTTGTCATTTGGAAGTGTGTAGGCCTTCTTGCATTATTATGCTGTTACATTATGATTATATATTCAGTGACATAAAATGGTCTTAAAATGACAATAACATCGCTTATTGCAATTATTTCTGGCGCAATATATCGCACAATAAAGTTATTATCGTGACAGGCCTACTCACACATATAGAGAAACGTGTCACAGATGATGCCTTAATGACAATTTGAAATCCTCATACATTGACCAAATCATGTTTTTCTAATCATATCAACAAGTTTGTGTGATGATTAGGGGCTGCATTTGAATTGTAGCCAACATCATCACCTCTGTCTAAAAATCATTGCGTCTATGAGATTTTCTTTTATTGTGAAACCAACATGTGCATGCACACACGATCCTTTGTGCGTGAAGGGATTGTTTTTAGTTCCCTTTAGCTTTTCGTGTTTTTGAAGTAGTGTACTCATGGGTCTATATCTCATGCTTGTAGTTTTAAGCTTGTCTGGATTTTTATGGTTCTCGTGTGTGTGTGTGTGTGTGTGTGTGTGTGTGTGTGTGTGTGTGATTTAGCGTCGCGTGTGTGTGTGTGTGTGTGTGTGTGTGTGTGTGTGTGTGTGTGTGTGTGTGTGTGTGTGTAAGGAGAGGGGCAGGTCCCAGCTGAATAGAGATAAGCTCATTTTCTCCGAGCTGTTTGAAGTGGCTACTTCATCTGCGAGCGTGAGTCTCTCCGCAGACGCACATGTTGGTGCTTAAAGAAACATTCCACACTGCTGCAAGAGTTATCCCTGGCCTGAGACCCCACGTGTGTGTGTGTAGAGATATTAGCGTATGCAGATTTATTGTGGTGTGATATCCAGAGAGAGAGAGCATGGTCATGCCAAGACCTTCACTAGCCTATGTGACCCTCACGGGGGCAAGATGAAGTTTATTGGCATATAAGTATTAGTACACTAATCATAGCCACACACAGGGCTAATTAATTTATGGGCTGTTTCATCAGGAGTAGTGTAAGAGCTGCTCTAATGCTTATTTTACACGAATGCTAACGAGAGCAGAGCTATCATTCAGCGGAAGCTCCTTTCACATGGTGTCAGAGCTTCAACATACATCTTCGCTCTTGTCCTTTATATGACAGTGTTGTAGATAGCAGAAGGAAAGGGTGATTTTACCAGGTTGTTAGAAGCGCTGAATATCGTGGATAAGTGTCAAAACATTCACAATGATTTTACTGACTATATAACATTAAGGAACTTTGTGAATATTGTGATTTATTTTAATGCTTTTAAGTGTCATTAGACAAATTTAACAATCCTTTCTCGTCTTGCGAGTGAAACTGATTACATAGATGTGTTAATAGAGTCTCTGCTTAAACGTAAGTAGCATAAATGGTTCTGAAGTGTTCATCACTTCAGATTGTCTGTATTAGGTGATCAATTCATGATTCAGATTCTGATTCAGTGATTCATTTGCATTTTCACATGCATTAATGGTCTTATCTTTTGGTAAAATTGTAATGGTAATTAATGGTAATATTTTTGGTAAAAATATACTACCGTTCCAACGTTTTTTTTTAATGTTTTTGAATATCTCTCATGCTCATCAAAGTTGCATTTATTTGACCATAAATAAATGGATGAATGAATGAATAAAAAAGAAAAATAAATAACTAAATAAAAATGTACATACAGTAAAATAGTAATATTATGAATATTATTATGACATAATTATTATAATATAATTTTCTTATTATTACCATTAATCTTGAATACAGTTGCGCTGCTTAATATTTTTGTGGAAATCTTGATTTCTTTGATGAATAGTATGTTGAGTTGAGTTGAGTTTATTTGACACAAAAAGTAGCAATTCACTGTTACAACCTTCTTGTCAAGGATAACACAATAAAGTTACAGTAACTTAAAGAACTCAAAAGAACAGCATTTATTTGAAATAGAAATCCTTTGTAACATTATAAGTAACTTTTGATCAGTTTAATGTATCCTTGCTGAATAAAAGTATTAATTTCTTACTGACCTCAAACTTTTGAACAGCAATGAATATGGCTGTATATATTATATATTAAATATACTTCTCATGTGCGTTAAAAAACAGTACATTGATTATTTTGAACTAGATTTTAACTGTATTTCCTTGCATAAAATATTGTAAATCTACTGCAGTTGGCTACAGTGCCTGTTTTAATTGAACTAAATGGGAAAAACAATTACTGACAGACTAATATGTTTTATAAACAATATCAATATTGATTAGTTTTGTTTCCAGAAAAAGCAGCTAAAAACCTATGTAATGCAGTACAGATATTTACATAGTTTTTTATATTATTATTTACATAATTCTTTTGTCAAGATGATGATAATGTCAAAATGATCTGTCTCCAGTCTCTCTATATCGCTGGTATAAGCATTTGTAGTAAAATGATTTACAGTCATAACACCCAGCTCTAATCTGTCGAATTAGTGAAGGTTCATTCACGGAACATGTGCTTGTTTTAGCTTAATGCATCTGTTTTGTTTGGCGTGCATGTATTTGGGTAACGAGTTGTTTACTGGCTGTATTCTCTGCAGGAGGAACCTCCACCAGCTCCAACCTGCCATCTGTCCCTGCTTTACCCCCAGTGACCCAGAGCTCCACCCCCAACATGAGGTCTCTGCTTTAAACTCAAATCTCACGCTGTATCATAAGCAAGCTATAGCTTTAGATATATTTTTCAGAATGCGTTCTTTAAAGCATGATTTGATTTAATGACCTGCTGTTTTTAAAGTTATTTCAGTCACAGTCTGTGCAATATTTACAAGTGTGTTTGTGTGTGTTTTCAGTATCTCAGAGAGGTTGGAACATGCTCTGGAGAAGGCAGCTCCTTTACTCCGAGAGATTTTTGTGGATTTCGCACCGTTCCTCTCTCGCACACTGCTGGGCAGTCACGGACAGGAGCTGCTCATCGAGGGCACCAGTGAGCTACTGTTCTACTCTTATTACTGACATTTGTGGAATAATCCACACAAATGCAGTCACACTAAAGGCCTGCAGTCTGTTTAACGGTTTAAAGTGAGGTTTACATCATTGTTTACATCATCACACGGAGACATCTCATCACTCACACCCCCTCTCTCACCTCTAACCAAATTTAAGTAGCAAATGTGGCTGGAAGTATCTTTTAACTCAATGATTATAATAGCAGTGTTCTTTTATAGAGCACAGGGTCAGAGGCCAACAGACTCATACGAGCGTCCACTGCCTCCCAGAGAAATGAAACGCTGATTGATAGCTGACTTTGGAGAGCCACTTAAAACAAAAATGCTTCCTTCCTTCCTCTTCCTCCAGCTTCCTATGTGTTCTCATCTTTAGCTTTCATGTTAAATCTCTCGAGCGCGTTCTGCTTATCTAGTTCCCTAGCAGCTTCTTTAAAGCTGTATTTCAGATCAATAGAACATACGCTCACCATATTTAGTCTGATGTAATACAAGGCTCAAACATGTATTAGTTTACAGTAGCATCATGTAGGTTCATGAAGGTCATCAATACTCTTTGACCCCTCAAGATGGTGCAGAATCAGACCACTCTCAAATGTGAGTGTGTCAGCAAAACAGACCCTAAAGAATTAAATGTTTTTAATGCTGAGGAATTTATTTCCCTCAATACATTTGATGCAAGAAATCTCATAAAACAGAATTAGAAGGGTTCAGCCTGGTGTTTATTAGTAAGTGAGGGAAGAAAACATTTGTGTTTGCCAAATTATTTTCAATATGTATGAAATCCAGGTGGGTCTATGCAAAAGTCAAATAATTAGCAGTATTTTTACAGTGGTATGTAATTATTAGTATATAGCGACCGATCAGCTATTTCAGTACTCTATCGTTAGCTGGTAATTATCACAAATTAATAGATTTGTTATGTTAGGGTTAAAATCTTAATTATCAGTAAGGGTTAAAAGTTTTCACCTATTAAAGCTGAAATGCAATCTGTTTTTCTCTGCAGGTCTTGTGTGCATGAAGTCCAGCAGTTCTGTGGTTGAACTGGTCATGCTGCTGTGTTCTCAGGTAAGTCATTCCTCCATCCCTCCTCCACTTGTTCTTTTCCCCCCATTCTCTTCTTTACTGTTAATAAATCCATTGTTGCAGTGTTATCTTCACACTGCCAGCATGATTCCTGTCTTACTAAGCTCTGAGTATAGACAGAAGTCCAGAAAAATGGCCAGGGAAACCCTTCTTAATGCTGTTGATATGAGTTGAAAGGTCAGGGGTCTTGACCCAATGTAACGGTCTTGGTCATGTAGCCAGTCACAGAGGATAATGCAACATTGATAGTGTTTTGTGATTGATTGGCCTCCCCATCGGGTTTTGCCGAGAGTATTTAACGCAGGTAAGATGAAGGCTTAATAGCCGAGCTCTGTGTGTGTGTGTGTGTGTTCTTTGCTATAGTTTGGGAAAGAAATTGTCCCCAAAAGTGATCTAAAGCTGACCAGTCCTCCCTTTGGAGACATTCGAAGACATCCTTACTTTGAAAATGGATTCATAAATAATGTGAATGCTGTTTTTGTTTATTTTCTTTTTTCAAACTAGGTATTGCAGGAAAGTTCAGAGAAAAATGTAATGTAAAAATCTATATATCTACTGTACTATATATATATATACACACACACACACACACACACACACACACATACACACACATTAAGTCAGGGCTACTACAGGTTTTCAGTGACAATCATTTTGTTTGGTTTACATACAAATGAGTAATACACATAACCAAGGACTCGTTGCCTCTTTCTTCGGTGTTTTTATTTTCAGAAATAAAGCTCTTGTCCTCCTATAACCCTCTCTGAAGGTAATCCAGAGGGATCAGGCATCAGACGGGGCGTCAGGGGCCGCATATATTTGCAGGCGTGAGGTGGGGGTCCCTCTGTGAACCCAAACATCTAGAAAAGAGAGAATAAATGACATGCTCTAATGCACCTATTTGTCATATCTGTCACGCTGTTGTGTAATGCTAATCTAATCAAAGGGGAGTATTTGGGTTCTGCCTGCCTCCACTGGAAAAAAGCCTCCGGCCCAAACCCCGTTCCAGCGGTGGCACATTGCAGGCCCTGCGCTGCAACGAAAAGGCTGCGTTGCTGCTGATTACTTAAATAAATCATCCCGACTAAATTCTCTTTAGAGCTGATGCAAATGTAATTTTATTGTGTGGGGAGAAACCGTGGAAAAGGCGACAAAGCTCAAATGAGGTCTTGAGCCCTGTTTACCCCCAGTTAAATTACACAGTCTGTTGTAGGGGGTTAATTTTGTTTTATGAATGTGGAAGATTTTTTCTTTCTCTTATTTGGGAAACAGAGAGCTGTCTGGAAGAACTTTAGGGTCTCCCATTGATCCTGTGGTTAATCAGGAGATCCCTGCACAGGAAATGCTGTTGTCGTAGACAGGAAGTGAAGCAGTGTATTTTCTGACAGAATAGGCAATAAGTATGGGAGGATGTTGATGGATTCAGTTTCGTTTGCTTGCATTTCCTTCTCATCCCAAAATAGAATCCAGGTGGATATGGTACCGTCTGCACAGATTTTCTAATTAATATCTATGGTACAAGATGGAGTAGGTTTAGGGCTAGAGGTCAAAGGTTAGGGTCATAGACTAGTTTTTAATCACTCAGGATCAGGAGGGCTGCTCTGCTGTTAGACAGCGATTCTTAACTGCAATTTTATTGCATTTCTCTGAAACGAATCCCTTTATTCCCAACACAGGATCAATTTTCATCATCTTCTATAAGCCTATTGTGGTTTATCGCTTTTCACTTATATGTGTTTTATTGATAGTTGTATAGAGCTACGTTAGACATATGCGACTTTTAATATACCTTTGTATTCTATTTTTATTCAATTTTTCCAGCGCTTTGTTCTTTTTATAAATATGCATGTGAAAGTATGCAGTGTTGCAAATAATACCACAGTGACTGTAATGAATGAGTGTTGACTTCTTCTTTATTTCTGATTTTATTTATGTATTTATATTAGTGCTGTCAATCGATAAAAAAAACGAATTAATCACACGGTTTTTCTTAAATTAATCGCGATTAATCCCACCTAACATTAAAGTTTTTAAATATACTTTTATATTGCAATAATTTCACATTCATTCACTTCAAATTAATGTAGAAACTAGGGATGCACCGATATGAAAATTTTAAAAGGCTGCAAACGAACAGCGCGCATCTGAAGTGTCTCTGAAGGAAATAATGCATTATTTATCGGCTTTAAGATATCGGCCAAATTTTCTTATCGGGCCGATACCGATAACAGAAAAAAGGAGCATTTATCGGCTGATACCGATATGGTGGCCGATATATCGTGCATTCCTAGTAGAAACAACATAAAGACAGTATTTTTTAAATACTTGTTTACTGGCATCTTTTATGACTGAAGGCGAGTATCACAGATAACAATACTACTGATGTCTGTAGGAAATATTTTTTTTCCCCTAATATTTAACCATTGACTATAGCCATTCAACATTACAGTATAATTGAGAGCTATTAATTTTAAGATTTTAACAGCTGGGTTATTGGGGTTTTTGACTGCTTTAAGAGCTGCCGCTGCTGAACATGACGCGAATCTGACACACATCATATTTTCTCACAACTCTTTACTTTTCTGACCCGCTTCAGGTCTTAAAGTCTCTATAATGAGCTGACGAGTTGAATCGGGTGTGTTAGATGAGGGAGACAGTGCTGCTGCTCCAGGACAGTTTGGAAAACCACTGCATTTCAGAGACATGTTCTTAAATGGGACTCATGTATAACAAATGCATGCATGCACAGTTTTAAGGCAGCTTCAGTTGCCTTTTTGGTAACTTCATGACTTAACTGACAACATAACTATGACATTGCATGCTTGTGGTTTCATTTGCGCTTTAATATGAAATTATATACAGCACGCGCCACTGCATTTGTGTGTGCAATTGAAGAGCACATGCTACGAGCACATTATAACGGCTGACAGGACAGGAAAATGCGTTTTTACTGACACATGGCCTGACAGCATCTCATCTGACCGCTGTTCACAGTTGTTCTGCTGAAGCTCCTCATCTTTTCCATGCTCGTTTGACTCGTGTCCGGCGCTGAGGTGAAGTTGGAGTGCGCGTCTGAAAAGTCTCCCGTTTGATGACGATTTGCGTCTAAATAAACACAATTCTTATCAAGAAAAATGAGACAACGGCAGTTGTGAGTGGGGTGGCCAACCCTAGCTCCGCCCCTGCGTTAAATATTTTTAATAACGCGTTAAACTGAAAAAATGTATCGCATGCGTTAACACGTTAATTTTGACAGCACGAATTTATATATATTTATGTGTGTGTATATAGTCATAATTAATAATATATATACTTGTTATATGTTAACAATAAAATACTGTGATAGAATCACTTAGTTTGCCACACCATTGTCTTAAATCAGTTCATTTGCATGGATAAGTTAATTTGCATAGAATGGTAGTTCCACAACAAAAATGATGGTTTAGACAAATTTACAGCTTAAATACATTTTCATGATTTAGCGTGCAATAAATGCTGGACAAAATCATGGCCTTCACATATCGGTCTTTAAACCTTTTAAACCCTCTTTAAAGAAATTGATGCTTATAATAAATTATTTTTTATTGATATAAATTAAAGGGGTCATATGATGCGATTTCAAGTTTATTCTGTTACACCAAATACACAAAATAATGATCTTTAAAAAAGCATCATATGACCCCTTTAATAAATTACTTTGTGTGGTAAAATTATGCCACAAATGATGTTGATTGAGCTCAACTTGCATTGAACATTCCTTCAATATTTTCAACTAAAGCAGAAAGAGTAGAGCAGAAGGCTAAAGGAGAATGAATGTGGGTGAGAGGAAAAAGAAAGGAGTGTAAAACAACAGCTATCAAAGCATCAGCTCCGTTCAGGAAATTGCCAGTGTTAGGGCTTCAGATTAGACCCTGCATATTACATGAAGATCATCTTTGAGTGTCCTCATCTTGCCATTCAAGGCATCCACGTAAAAGCCTTGTGTTTCACCCGTCCTAATTCTCTTTGACAGCCAACACACACACACACACACACTGTCTAACTGAAAAAGATATACCACCAGCTGTTGTGCTAGAGAATATCACTTAAAAAGGTTTCCGCTTTTCAATAAATAATGCCGCCCGCATTGAGACACTCTGACGAGGAGCAAAAGCTACTGTTCGGTTCATATAGTTGTTGTGGATTTGATTCTAGATAAGTTTGTCCAGCTGAAAATATATGCAAAAAGAACCTATTGTTAAATGCTACTTTATGTAAGCGTCAGAAAAGCAATTGCAAACTGCTCTCAGATCGGAGTTGATTTGGAAATCATCTCATCTGTCTGCTTGACAGTGGCCTCCTGTCAGATATATATGGGAGTCGGGCAGCCGTGTTTCCCTATATCACCCATTACTGCTCAGACCTTGTGTCAGGTCATCTATTCTTTAAGACATTTATCTTCTGAATGCCTCACATGATGGAAAGGCTGAGGTGCAAGAGCAAGAAACAGCATCTTCAGGCGTGTTTGCGAGAGGCCTGAGTTTGTATTCTCTGTTTTCGGTACAATATGATTTTTTTCCTTTCATGTATTTAGATCATAAGCTGGCTAAAGAAATGTTTTGTTTCTCTCCTTACTTTGATCACCATCGTTTCACATCTGCTGTCCCGATATTGTTGATTATCCTAACCAGGGTGTCTTTAATGTAGAGTTAACCTGTTAAACAGATGGGCACCTTCGTCAGTCAATACATACTGGAGACACTGACTTCCCCCTGAGCACTTGGCATTTCTTAACCTCTGACCTTTAGGAAGAGGATGGAGAGTGGCCAGTGGCTCAAGAGTTTAACCCCATGGAGTCCCAGTGACTCTTGGATCAATACTCGCAGGCAGAGCGAAAGAAAGAGAAATCGATCGGTCGACTGTCCAGTGAAAGCCTAATCGCTGGCTGTTCACCGGATCTCTTCATCATTTCACAGTTGCGCAGTCTCTGTGTCTGAAACAAC